TGAGAAACGAGCGCAGAAATTCCATAATGATGACGCGTCACTACCCAGATCTGGGTAGTAAAGCCTCTGATTGAAAGTACCACGCGTCAAATTTGCCTAACCAATCAGACGCCCGACCCAGATCCTGGTAGTGACACGTCATCAGTATGGAATTTCTGCGCTGGTCTCTCAGACGTCATTTTTCTGGGAAAGCAGTGGCAGCGTTGCCAATGTCGGCTGTTTTCTCAGGCTAGGTAAAGGATTCTTAGCCAAAAGGACTAATTCTATCTCACTCCACTTTTCTCGTCACTTTGCTCCTCGTTTTCTTGGCTTTCTACGCGAAGGAATATTCCTTTACCGCGATGTAAAAAAAACTGTTCGGAAAACAAGTCAGGAACTTGTTATAAATGTATATGAAGGGCTGACTATCCCTGACTGGAAGCCAGTGGTTTCGCCACGTAAGAAATCAAGTTCAATTCATATTAGCACATAGCGAAATAACCTTGTAAAAAGTTAACACCACAATCCATCAACCATTTCGATTTACCTACTAGAGTTTGGAGTTATACCATCCCATGGTGAACTAAGAAAGTAGGGAGCGAACTTGTAAGGGGCTAATTCACCAGGGGGCACGGCTGACCGTATGTGAATGACCTAACGTAAGTAATGGAAGCCAGTTATTGACGTTAAGTTAAGTTAAAAATCGAAATGGTGGACTAACTTACCTTGGATAAGGCTCTCATGAGTGGTTCATTGTCCTGCATTCGTCCAGCAGTGTCGACCAAAACAACATCAATGCGCTGCTCCCTTGCTGAAGAAAGAGCAAAAACAATTAGATCATCAACAGTTGTCATCCCTGATTAATTGTCTTAATAAGCTAAACTCTAATCAATAAAATCATGAATACCAGATAATCAAGTGTAGAAACTGCGTAGTGGAAAATTAAATGAAAGAAGATCATCGTAGTTACAGAGGCAACTTTAGACTGTCCCCCATTTTTCCTCAGGGATAGTAGAGCGCGCGAAACGCGAGCGAGCGTGAAAATCACCCCACGCGAGAAAAGGCGACACGCGGCTCTCGTGGGGTGATTTTCACGCGCTCGCGTTTCGCTCGCTCTACTATCCCTGAGGAAAAATGGGGGACTACTTGCAGTCTGAGGCAACTTTTGCAGTTGAGAAAAGAAAGCCTGTTAAAATTTAGGCTGGTAAGGGATTCAAACCCTTGACTTTTGCGATACCGGTACAGCGCTCTACCAATTAATCTCACCAATCGTCATACGCGAAGGCAGTGAAATGAGTTAATCAGAACTAGCTGACCTAAGACTAGGCTCCTAAGCGGTGAGAGAGGAAGAAAATTGGTGAGCGAGGGCTAGCACCTTAACTTCCCCTCTTCCATTTTTTCCGTCGTCATCTTTTCGCGATTTTTAGCCCCCTCGCCCAAACAGAGAGTTTGTTCACAGTGTACTTAATCATATACTGCGAAAACAGCCATGTCTCCACGCTCCTTGCCACTTGGGATGTTTCGCCAGTAGAGTCCCTCCTGAGAAATGTCCCTGGCGGCGGGGACAGAGGACAGACGGCTATTTTTGCAGGATAACTTAACAATAACTCACCAAAATTAATAGCATCCATAGCGATAGCGGCGGCGTCTTTACCATATCCTTTTTCATACA